AAAATATTACCTATTTAGATCGATACATTTCATTCGTGTTTCTAATAATAAATTTGACAGGGTGCAACGATATGCTCGAAGACATGATGAAATTATCTTAGCTAAAACTGGGCGAATAAATAATCAGAATGTATTCCTTTGGAATTGTGAAAATAGACTGCATCAGTTTGAGTATCCATTTCCATTGATTGCAACGAAATTTGAGTGGTGTCCACTTTGTTTTCACAATAAAAATGAGCGATGCTGTAGATACATCTTTGAGGATTTATTAGATAAGAAGTTCCCACTATGTTCAGATAAATTTTTAGGTGAACTCAGACTTGATGGGTATAACGAGGAATTGCACCTGGCATGGGAACATCAAGGAGTACAACACTATCATCAGAATGCAATATTCCACAAGTGAGGTCAAATTGATTTGGATAAGCAAAAGGCACACAATGAAAAAAAGCAGGAGATATGCAAGAAGCAAGGTATAGATCTAATTGAAATACCATTCGACTCGAATTTATATGCATTTATAAAAAATGAATTGCAAGAGAGAGGTTATTTATCACATAAAGAATAAACACATAAGTATTACTTAGCTTGAATAAGATGAAAGAGAAAGGCATGCCTATATTTGTATATAATATTGACGAGACATCTAACAAATCCTCAGAACGAATGAAAGGTAATAAGTATTCACCAGATACCCCATTTAGATTACTGGTATATAGAGGCTCCCATAGCGGAAAAACTAATATGGTTATAAATCTTATGCTAGGTAAAAAGCTCTAATGCATGTTTAACGAGAAAAAAGGTAATTGGTATATTAAGAATGATGATCTGGTATTGATAGAAAAGTATTCTGAACCAAAATAGGAATTAGTAAAAAATGCATACCAGATCTTCGCAAATGCCCCTAAACTATATCAAGAAGATGTTACATTTAAAAGGATATCTCCAGATAAAATTCTAGATATAACTAAATTCTTTTCAGAGCGAAGTACAGTTGTTGTATTTGAGGATTTATATGCTGAACCAAAGAAAGTACAGAACAAATTATTCCTTACTTTATTAGTAGCTAGCATCAAAATATC